TTTTTTTTTTTTGAGACAGACTCCCCCTATGTACTAGAGTGCTGTGGCATCACAGCTCAGAGCAACCTCAAATTCTTGGGCTTAACACAGATTTCTTTTCAAATAGGATTTAGCTTAAGAATATACTCTTTTTTTTTTTCTGCATTAACACAGAAACTCCAGGACAAGAAGCAACAAAATTAAAGAGCAGAAAGATGCAATGAGAAAATCTAAACTTTTGAGTAACAAAAATGTACTATTTTTATATTATATATTTTGATAAGCACACCACATTTGGATGTGTTTTATTTGGGGGAGTTTTTAAGCTTAATAACGAATACTTAGGAAAAGTCAAACTCTATATAATTAATGGTAATGATATTTACAATGTATTATTTAAAACTCTTGCTCCCAAGAGTTTTATTAGACCAACCTCTTGTCTTTCTTCCTATAATATAAAATACCAGAATTATATATCCTTAAGCTAAATCCTATTTTAAAACTAAATCTGTGTTAAGCTGAAGAGAAAACCTGAAATTCCCAAAGTCAGAATTATTTTTATGATATTTTGTATTAGTGTATCATGTTTCATGCAGAGCTGTGGGCTAGCCACCCATAATAAGACATATTCAAGATATTCTTTCAGCCTATACTTTAAATGTGCTAGGGTTTGTGCCATAACCCTGTTACACAAAGGTATTTCTTTCCATTTCAATATGCTATAAATCTACTTGTCTCTTTTTGGAACTCCTTTAGCTTTATTAAGTTTCACAGAAGGAAACAATACTCCTAGTTTGTTTCCATTGGCTCTGGCCTTCACTTCCAACAGTGAGTGTAAACGACTAGTTATCCCAAAAAGGGCCATCAAGAGAGAAATTAGCCCTACTTCAATAATAAAAATATTCTATTTTCTTCATCCCTTCCCCCACTCTCAGTGTATTCTTGCTGTCAGATGGCCTCCACTGAATCAAACATTTAAGAAACTCTCTACTGTTTCTCCAAAGGTGTAAGAATGCCATCAAGTTTTTGAGCATAGATCATATCTGCTTCATTCCAGGTGTCTCACATCTGGTTCTAATCCTGCAGTGACCACCATAATAAAGCAGAAGGAGCCTTTGCCTGACTTTCATCCTAACCATTCTCCAAAGAGCTCAAATGAAAACTTGGACTCAAATGTGAAAGCTGTTAGTTTTAGGGAGAAGGTTTAAATGAGGAGGCAGTTTGAAGAACAGCAATGAAAATCACAGCTCAGGACATCAAATACCACAGCAGGGCTTCCTTGAAATCGCAGAAACTGCCATCCGTTTTTATTTTCTCCATGTAAGCATGGAAAACATCGTCCTTCATTGGTAACACTTTAAAGCTGGAAAATGAGTACATAGAGATGGATACAGATATGATTTTATTCTTTGTTTTTAAGTCTGTGTAAAGAGAATAGTTATGCTATTTATACCAAAAAAACAGATGAACATTTGGAGAACATCCATGACTTTTGACACAACTGTCATTTCCTGTGGTCACTCTAGGCAACAGAAAAGCGGCAAATGGCACATTATAACAGCTCTGACAGAGTCAGACCCTTCAGTTTACAGCCAGTCCACAACCATGGCAAATACCACTGAATTCTGAGCCAGCCAAAAAAATTAGGGCAAGCCCTAGAGTTCACCAAGAATTAGAGGCAGTGATATTTTTATTTCTCTCCACCCTTTTCATTCTTGAGCAGCACAATACTGAGGAAGTAGTTAAAGGAAGCAAGAAAACAACAAAAAGTGTGAGAGTTGTGAAATATATATATATATATGCATGTATCTTTTATAAAATATTGCTTTACTCTGACTAAACATCAAACTATTTTTTTTTTTTTTGAGACACAGTCTCACTATATCACCCTCAGTGGAGTGCTGTAGCACCACAGCTCACAGCAACCTCAAACTCTTGGGCTTAAAACAGATTTAGTTTTAAAATAGGATTTAGGGCTCGGCACCTGTGGCTCAAGTGGCTAAGGTGCCAGCCACATACACATGAGCTGGCGGGTTCAAATCCAGCGTGGGCCCGCGGAACAATGACAGCTGCAACTGAAAAATAGCCGGGCGTTGTGGCAAGCTCCTATAGTCCCAGCTACTTGGGAGGCGGAGGGAGGAGAATCGCTTGAGCCCAGGAGTTGGAGGTTGCTGTGAGCTATGATGCCACAGCACCCTACCCAGGGGGACAGCTTGAGGTTCTGTCTCAAAAAAAATAAATAAATAAATAAAATAGGATTTAGCTTAAGAATATATAATTCTGGCATTTTATATTATAGAAAGAAAGACAAGGGGTTGGTCTAATAAAACTCTTAGGAGCAAGAGTTTTAAATAATACATTATAAATATCATTACCATTAATTATACAGAGAGTTTGACTTTTCTTAAGTGTTTG